GTATTGTTTAGAGTCCCAAGTATACAATTTTCTCACCCTCGGTGGTAATGCCGGCGATTTATCAACACTTGGTCATAATTCATCCTTCTTGTCCGTCCACACGTGGCTCTCTTCTCAGGTTGCTAAAAGTATATCTGATATGACGTAAAACAGTTCACATTAACTTGTTGCCCATATATATGTACGAGAATATAAGTACAAGGGAGTTTTTCCAAGAAACATAATGCAAGGGTTCATCGTCAACTGGCCCACGACCACGAGATCTCTGGGTGGCTGGCTGCATGTTGCCGGGTATTTTGGTATCAGCGGCGCTAGCCCTGATCGGGCAAGCGCAAGGCAACCACCTCAAATCTCTCCGGCCCACGCACGCACGCAGCACTTGCACGGACCACGGCACTGCATCGATCGCGTTCGCCAGCTGGGTCAACATTTTAGACGAGCAGCAATCGAACTTCTTTTTTTATAAAGAAAAAAAAGAAGTCTAGTGATTATTTTAAAACTGTTTTAGTTGAAAAAGACATGGAAATTATGTGTATAGTTAGTTTGCAAAATACTCCCTCTTATCCCAAAGTATAGCTGCCTTTAGGTTTAGGTTAGTCCTAAATGGTGCCAAACATCACATAAGCTTGCTTTGAGTTAATATTTTATATATATATATATATATATATATATAGACTTTAGAGTGCTACTAGAAGTGGGTGTTTGGTAAATCACGTGCAGGTTTAGGAGATGTGCAAGAGCCAAGAGACGAGCTGGTTGGGTCATGGTCAAGTGACCCACAGGATTTGTGCCACTCTGACAGCTGCCGATTGGTAGGTAGTATTGTGCTACTTTTTCATCAGTTCCAAAAAGAAGGACGTTATGAAATACTTGCGGGTCAAATTTTCTCAACTTTGATGTGATTTTTATAAAAATACGTGTAATATTTATATATCAAAATAAATTTATTATAAAAATATATTCAACTATCTATCAATTATACTAATTTTATATTATAATTATTAATATTCTTTTATATATAATTGGTCAAAGTTAAAAAAAATTGACTTCTCAAGAGGTGAGAACTACTTGTATTTTGGGCAGAGGAAGTATGGACGTACGACCTATCGAAGCGCAGGCTGGGCGCACGGCCGACCATCTTACGTCTCCACGCGCCTGTGCCCGCATACGTGGACTGTGTTCGCCTGTGCCGGCCGCCGCAGCGATCACGCTCGCTAGCCAACAAAAGCACAAAGGCAGCAGAGAGATGCTCATGCTCTGCTGCATCTGCGCGCGCGGTCGGCGTCGGACACCACCATCGGCCCGCCTGGCGCTCCATTCCATTCCATGGCTGCATTTCCTCTGCTGGCCACTGGGTGGCTGGCCATCGCACATGACACCGCGGCACACGCTGCCGTCAGCCGTCGCATCGGTGGCGGCATGGGCGCGCGACCTCTCCGGCAGGGAACCGCAGCAGCGACAGGGGCAGGGCTCGCTCGAAAATACGGACGGATCAAATCCCCGTCGACACTGGCCAAGTCTTTTTGTTGTCAACATTTACGTACATCGGTGTACATGTCAACATGTGCTGGGTTCGCTGCATCGAGCTCTCGAGGCGGCAGCCTCCTGACCCACCGGACCGGGGACTGCTGCCTCATCACTCATCAGCCAGACGGACGGGGGGTGCTACCAGCTGCACCTGCACGCCACAATTCCTCAACTGCTTAAGAGAAGCCGGTTGTGCTCCCAGCTGCACACCAAGTTTACATGTTCTGTACTTATGTAGATCTTGCCCCACGTGTCACCTTTTTTACAAGTTTTATCTACGTACTAGTGGACTCCCATGGGGAGTAGTGCCTTCTGTTTGTATAACTTGTTTACTTGCAAGACTTTGGACCAGTCATGCTCCGCGTGTGCTGTCATGTCAACGCTTCAACCAGTATTGTTGCGTTGCATATGGATCCGGGACAGAGGGCTGAATATCACACAAGGTTCAGCAATAACACACAATAAGGTTCAGCAATAAGCCAATAACACACAGGCTTCTGCAATAACAAAGATACTTCTACTATTCACAAAGACAATTGTATTCAGCACCTAGGGGTCTTGCACCTCAATTTTCTTCTTATGCCAAGTAGTCTTATACAACTGTTCTTAATAATAAGGACGATACATAAAAGCACAATTTTCAAACCATGACGTAGGGCATTCCTAATAAAATGCAAGAACCACTATCGTGATCCCGGGTTTTTGGCCTGTAAAGGTGCCTTTATCGATCCAGTCTGTCCTAAATTTATACAATTACATTACAATAAAGACAGTTGAAATTAAAAACGCTGATGTGCTTGGCGTCCAGTCCAGCTGCCCTTTTAGGACGTCACATACTAATAGCATGGAACATGCGACAGGATACCTGGAAAACAAATGGACACCTTCACCAGATTAACCATTGTAAGAAAAGGTATTTAAAAAGACCATGAGCAGCATTGTTCTTGTATCAACTTAAAATCTGGATGCCAGACTGATTTTTAGTCTAGATGTCCATATCTCAAGTACCAAAATTCGCCCCAGCACTACTGTTAAGCAACCATTTGTTTTGACAGTCCATGAATTTGAGGATGTTTTCAATCAACAAGCTATAACATGTTACGTGCATTGCATCTCATCCGTCGCACACCACCAGTTGTTTCCACATACACCCACTGGCCACTTCCAACTCACCACGTACAATCTGATTTTTAGGCAAGTATGGTGCATCACTTGTGAAGTTAATCTTCAATTTTTTGCTTATATCAAATGAAAAACACATCGTTCATGCAGTTTTAAGTTGTGATATAGGGTAATAAATAGTGTGAAATGTCTTCTTCCTTCTAACATGAAATGGTGGTGTACTGGTGTTCTATTGACTCTATGTTTGTGGTGCAGGCTATCTTGAACAGAAGATAAAAGAAAACAAGGAACTGCTGCTATTGAAAACAAGGATGTCTAAGAAATTGATGTTTGATTCAACCATTCCAGGAACGAAGTACCAGTGCACATATATTTGCTTTCGACAGCTGTACCACATGGTCTTTATTATTCCACACTTCCACTGCGCAATTCGTCTTTGACATAGGTACTTAAGTAACATTTGTATTTGTTAGTTTAGTTCCATTTCTTAAGTTCAGCAGTAATTTATCACCTAACAGACAACAAGTTATTCATGGATTGTATCATGAATGATTGGGGAAGTTGTATGTTATAAGTCCTGTCCTACTGCCTCAGGTACTATAACATTAGGCATCTTTAAGTACGAAATAAAACTGAAATTTGTTACCACCAGTAGCAAATTTTATCAGAAGCAATCAGGTCTCAAGTTAACTTCAAATTTTGTATTCCAAAAGGAACGAGATATTGTTTGATGATTGGATATTAAGCAGTTTTTGCACTAGTAACATAAGCTACCACCTTGCTTATCGACAACTAAATGCAGGATAATAAAGATCAACACCTAAGAGAACAAGCTACTTAAACTTCTATTAAAAAAAACTGAGAAAGCAAGCAATTGCTTTGTGCAACACAAAACATCTTTAGCCTTCACAAGTCCAGTAAGGATCTAATAAAAATAGCAGCACTACAGTGCTGAAACAAAAAATGATGAAATGTTGAGCTACACAATTAAACAGGTAATTAATCCAATAATCCTTGCAAGTTATATTGCGAAGCTAGTATAAGTGATAGAGGCTACGAACATAACTAGATCTGTAATCGCTACAACAGTCTGTGCCACCGTAATCCTACTCGTAACTGCCATTATAAAGAAGTAATCATACCTAAGGCCCAACGAGTTCCATGTTCTCCAGATATGGCTAGTTTGGGTATCATGTTTAGTAAACAATTAGCTTTTGCGAATTTTCCCTAGTATAGTATAATTGCATAAACTGAGAAAACAACAACACTGTGCACATGTGTTCTGATGGTTTAATCTATACAAAATTAGAAACATACAGGAGCAATATGATCGACGCTGCAAGGGGCAGAGAGAAAGGGGGGGGGCCTGGCACCCCCCCAACATCCCACTAATCCTTCATTATCTATTTAAATATCAGTGCTTGTTAGTTAAGTTATGAAGGGCTGGCCCCCCTCAATTGGAGCCCAACAACAAGAAGTTCTTGCAGCCCACTAAGATGCAACCAAATTAGCCTACAAGATGCCTCGCTTCCTACTCCATCCGCAATCCTTGACTGACTCCTCATCTGTTCTGTTCAGCTTCCGCACGCAGCAGCCAGCAGCCAGGACGAGCGGGAGCAGAGGCTGAGCCGCAGATGGCGAGACTCCCCGCCTCCAACTCCGAGTCATCGCGAGTTCACGCAACGTCGACGTTGCCGATGCCGTGCCCAGATGGCCAGACGTCCAGGCCCCAGGCATGCAGCCTTTCGCCTCCACCTTTTACCCCTCTGTCTTTGTCAATTTGTGCCTTTTCTTCTTTACAGTACAATACAACCTCTTTTTAAATATCACTTGTTTATAGTTTATTTAATCTAATCACTTGATCTGTATCTCAAATAGTCAATTTTGATTAGGTGATATGAAGAGAAAAGGTATAATTCATTGTTTCTTTAAGCCTGTTGGTTCAAGTGCTAATTTTATTCAAGCTAAAAATCCCAATGCGGAAACTCCTAATGTGGAGGTGGAAACTAATGATCATGTGGAAAATCCTAATAATCAGACTATCAGAGTAGACCCCGGTAAAAGAATTCAAATATAGGAATTTGCACCTGATGATCAAGATAAAGCTAGGAGATTTTATATGTGATTATGTCTATAAGGTCCGTAAACCCATGGTAGCTTGGTTATCTTTTACTTGCTTTTTATGCTGCCCCCCCCCCCCCCCCCCCAATTCCTGGCTCCGCCCCTGCGACGCTGGGTTCTCAGGTTCTATACTTCTATGGATGAAACCAGACGCAAGCAGCCAGTGGCAATGAAAAGTGAGGCTAGAAACCCAAAGTATTGAGCACCCGTAGTAGTAGTACCTCGTTGACTTAAGAAGCGGCCTGGGCGGGGCAGTCGAGGCTGGCGTTGAAGTCCCGGGCGGGGAACTTGGCGGAGACGGAGCCGACCTCGAAGACGAGCTGGTCCCCGTCGGCGCGGATCCCCGTGATGGACCACCAGCGGAAGAAGGCCCTGACGCGGATGCCATCGAGGCCCGAGATGCGGCGGTCGTCGAGGCGGCCCGTGAGGCGGTCGCTGAAGGCGGCGAGGTAGCTCCCCGCGGGCAGCACGATGCGGCAGCTGGAGCGGAGGTCGACGGCGAAGTCCCCGGAGCCGGCGTCGAGCGTGTAGGCCCGCACGTTGGCCGGGAGCAGGCCCCGCGGGAACCCCCGGAGGCCGAGCTCGTCGTACGCAGTGGTGGCGGAGGAGGAGTCTTCCGGGCGGGCGAGCGGGAGCAGCAGCGACGCCGCGAGGAGGGCGGCGAGGAGGCGGCGCGCCATCGCTGGTTCAGTTGCGCGGGTGAGAGATCGGAGGGGAACGGGAGACGTGTGGGGCGGCGGAACAATGAGGAATGGGAGAGTCGGGCCGCTGAAATGATCGGGTCGTCGGGGGTGATCGCATGACGATTTCTCCAAATCCAAACGTGAGCGCTGAAGGGTCAAACACAGCAGGAGTTTTGGATCTTCGGCCAACTGCATTGTGGCCTGCGGATGGCGTGGCAAAAACGTAAAAGATCGTATAACTACGGACTCTGTTCAAAATTTTTTTTTTTTTTTTGCGAAGTGACTCTGTTCATCTGTTGGAGGATCAGCTTGTAGCAGTAGCTTAGCTTATGTCAAATTTTTCGTCCGTGCTACTTCAGTTTATATATATATATATATATTTATATATATAGTACATAAAAAGGAAATTGTTCAGAACGAAATGGTTTGTTATGTTAAAGAGAAATAAAGAAGGGACACGTCCGTGCAGTTATGTATCGCTCTCATGAGTAAAGCCTGCACGCTCTCGACGGTTGAGTGAGTGAGTGTCCGTAATCGTTGAGTCGTTATCAGTCCAGCACGCAGCAAACAGCTGAGAACAAATCGCCGGGTTTTTTTTTTTGTATATAAAGGAAAAATCGCCGGTTGCTTTCCACGGATCCCTTGTAGAGCTCCAAGATGGGTAACGTTTGGTTGAGGATGTCCATATGTCCGAACGAACCCTAACCTGCCCGTGCTGCTCATCCGTGCCGCGCGCCGCTCCCCAGCAGCGCCCGCGAATCATAATCCGTCGCCGTAGCCTGGCACAAGACGCTGTCATCAAGCAGTTCGTGCCCCTCCCAGTGCATTCTCCTTCACCGTCCATTCTCACGTCCCAAACCTAGCTAGAGGCCAGTGCCTAGACCGATGTACCCTGGGAGCTGAGTGCCAGGTGCGGCAGCCGCGCGGGGCCTAGCGAAGTGTGGCGCCACGGGCAGGATCCAGTCATCCGAGGTCACTGCCGCGGTCCATGCCACTTATGAGGTCCGCACCGGCGACCTCTGCGCCACTCCGTGGCATTGAGCTCCACGCGAGCGTCGAGTTCTGTATGTTTTATGTGACGTTTTAGATGTATGTTTCAAATATTTCAGATGTATGTTGCATATGTTTCATATGGATGTTGCAAAAATAGATCGGGATGATACATATGTTGCAATGGTTATACGTATGTTGCAAGGTTCTGTTCCCAATGTTTTACGTATGTTGCAAGTGTGTTTATTTGAATGTTTCATATATTTCATGCATATGTTGCAAGTGTTTTATTTGGATATTGTGTGTATTTTTACAATGGTTTCAAGTGTTTTCAGGTGTTTTTGTAAATATTTCAGATGCATATTTTAAATGTTTCATCTAACTTCAGACGTATGTTGCAAGTGTCGCCTTTTGTTGCCTCGCCTCGGTGTCTCCACCTCCTTCCAGTGCTAGCTGGGCATCCGCCGCCCAGTCCCCCTCTTCTCGCCGCTGGTGATGTTCGCGACGGTGTGGGCCCCGTGTCGGTGTTTCGAGTTACCACCGGCGAGTAAATTTCTAGTATTGCGCGTTTGGCTCGGACGGTGTGCTTAGAGGACACGAGGTTTATACTGGTTTAGGCAAAAAGTCCCTACGTCCAATTCATCGCTGCTGCTCGTGTTACTAGCACTGAAAGTTTGTAGTAGGGGTTACAAACGGACGAGAGAGGGAAATGATCCCAAGTCTCTGGTGAAAGGAGTGAACGGGTGCTGAGAGCTCAATTGCTGCTCAGCCGTGTGTTCGTGTAGTGCTCTTGTGTTGATCTAGATCCAGTCTCGATGGGTCGATCTGATCGGATCAACTTTATGGGATGCCCTGCTTTCCCTTTTATAGGCCAAGGGAAAGCACGGGTTACAGCGGAGGAAAAGAGAAGAACGAGAGAGAGAAGAAGGCCTTCAGGATCGCTGGGTCCTTCTTCTCCTTCATGCTCGTCCCGCTGATCCTATAGATGTCAACAGGGACAGCTCCACGTCGTGGTCCTGTTCATCACTAGTGCCATGCGCAGGCGTCGTCTGCTGGTCATGGCGTTTCATCCCGTCCTGACGGACGTCGTGGTGAACTGACGCGCCTGTCATCATTCGTACAATGGTTAGGTAGAACAGCACCGGCACTCTCGACGCTGTTCTTGATGTGAATCCTTAGGTATGGCTCATCATGGCCACGGGTTACATCGAGTCTGCTAGTCTCTTCTCTAGTGTCAGAGTTTTGACGTAGGCTCATACGCTTGGACCTGGAGTGGTTGGCGGCGGTATGGGTCCCCATCGGACGAGACGGAGCCTGCGGCCTTGGGGTCGGGCGAGACAGAGCCTGTGGCCTTGGGGTCAGGCGAGATGGAGCACGAACCCAAGGGGTCAGGCGAGACGGAGCCCGCGGCCTCGATGTCGGGCGAGACGGAGCCCACCGCCTCGAGGTCAGGCAAGACGGAGCTCACCGCCTCAAGGTCGGACGAGATGCAGCCCGCACCCGAGGGATCAGACGAGGCAGAAACCGCATCCTTGGGGTCAGGCGAGACAGAGCCTGCACCTGAGGGGTCGGGCGAGGCAGAAATCAAGTCCTTGGGGTCAGGCGAGGCGGAGCCCGCGGCCTTGGGTGAGACCCCCACGGCCTTGGGATCGGGCGAGACAGAGCCCACACCCAAGGGGTCGAGCGAGGCAGAGCCCGCGCACCTAGGGGCAATTGGAGCTGTAGTCGCGCTCTTGACTGCTCGGATGAATCAATTTTGATGACCACTAGCTCCTCCTCTTTGGGTACCCTAGTATTGGTCCCCAACAGTAGCCCCGAGACTGCGGAGGAGAAGAATACTTCTTCGGTGGCTTTTCTGAATAGGAGGACTTTGAGGGCCTTAGCCTTCTTTTGTCGCCCATGGCGTGTCCTGGTGACGGTGACTCCCTTTCATCGTGATCGGACCCCTCGGGGGTATAGCCATGAGATTTGGTGGGTCAGAAAAGGTCTTTCCTGATTCCAACCCCTACGAGGGTCTGTCGTTCTGCGACCACGCCTTCAGTCTCCTTGTGAGTCCAACTTTCCTCGAGCCCCCGCCCATAGCAGGGGTCTGGTCGAGGATCAGCTCGTCTTTGTGATCGTCTTCCCTCAAGCATTTTTTCTGATAAAAACGAAGGGCCTGAGCTATGCCATGATTTTCCTCTATGGACGAATCATGGTGCTCGGTGAGCTGTTAGCGGGCTAGTCCGAGTGGGGCCCTGACATCCCGTTCGTGGGGGTCCGGCTTGGGTCAGTTGGTGACCGACTCTAGATTCTTAGCGGTCAATCCATATAGTTCTTGGGTCCGTTCATCCAGTCCTGAGGGCTCTCTGCCTTTCTTCGAGGAAAACCCATGGATCGTATCCAGCCGAGACTCGAATGTAGGACGGGATGCCCATGGCGCTCGTGCGCTTGGGTACTAGCCACTAGCGGGACCATCCCTTTCCACCCGTCACTCTAAAGGTGCCTGGTGCGATTGTCAAACCCGTCAGTGGGCCAACCTTCAAACTCCTAGGCCTAGACGGGCCGTAGGAGCGTCTTTAGTTCCATATCCCTCTTACCTGTGACGGGTCATGGCCCGTTTGGGGAGGCGAAACATCCAGCGCATTTTTCGAGGGGATGGCCATAGGTTGCGTGCGCACGCCCAGCAACGAGACGTGGTGACAGGTCGTGTCAGGCGTGGAGATCTAGGTGGACGGTTGGTTTCCTCGCACCAATCGCCCCTATAAAACCAAAGGGTTAGCCCTCCGTGTTTCATACGCACGCCTGCATCCTTACCTCTACAACCATGCCATCGCTGCCAACACTTAGGTTTCCTGCCTCCACATCTCTGCCGCTGTTGAGCTCGCATCCATCCGCCCCCACCTTCAATGGATCCGTGGTGCCATTCCGACATCACCTTCCAGCGCATGGAGGGCCTCATTCATCGTGGTCTTCTCTGCATGTGGACCTCGACCGAGGAGTGGTTGCTGCCCTATGACGAGGATTTGCTGTCGTTGCTCGATGGCTACGTGGTGTCGTTCGCCCACTTCCATGAGCGCGGGCTCACGACCCTCGCCCACAAATTCCTTCAAGGGCTATGCACTTCTACAAGATTGAGCTGTAGCATCTCAATCCCAACGGGATCCAGCACATGGCGGCGTTCGTCACACTGTGCGAAGGATTCCTAGGGATCAGCCCCCACTTTGACTTGTGGAGGTATTTCTTCACCGTCAACCTCCAGAAGAAGAGGGAGAAGGGCGGTAGGCAGGAGCTACACATGTCGATGGGATGCGCCGGCATCCAACTCCGGAACAATCGGGTCAGCGAGTAATCGTCCATGCGGCTCTCGACATCCAACAAGGGGTGGCACTCGCAGTGGTTCTACCTCAAGAATGACGCCGATGCCCTTCTGTCGGAGTTCACTAGGCGCCTGATCGAAGAGGCCCCGGAGCAGTGGAGGAAGTGAGGCATCCTAGAGAAGGACAAGAAGAAGATCTGAGACCACATCGCCGCCATCCACATCCTGAAGGAGAATGGCCTGAAAGGGTAGGGCATCATCGGGGCTTACCACGTGAGAAGGGTGGTGCCGTTGATGACGCGCGGTCTCCCGCTATATGCAATGGCACCCGAGGCATCGTTCGATGGAACGGCGCTTGTTGAGGGAACGCTCTCCAACTCCGAGATCGCGCAACGCATCAAGGAGGAGATGGAGCCTTTGTGGGACGACGCGGGTGCCACCCTCAACTTCATCTACCCGGTGCTGGGGCATCCTCTGATGCGGCTAGAGCCAAGCTACGTTGTCTTCATAAGTTTCCCTTTCTCTTGCCTTCCCTTCAATTGATTTCTCGACCCTGTGAGACTAACTTTGAGAGGGGCGGGACCAGCCGAGGGACCTCATCCTCACAGATCACTCGGCACCGCTGCCGAGGGATTCAGCCGTGAGGGTGGTGAATCGCACTGAGGGTGAGCGGCCGAGGAAGGCGAAGGAGGATAAGAAGAGGAAGAAG